GAGTAATTGAAATAATAACCTAATTAAAAACTACTGAAAATAATAATAATAAAAACTTGAATTGAGACTAAATTATTACTATTATATTATTAATTTTTTATTAATCACTGTTTTAAAAATAACAAGTTTGGAACTTCCGTATCTATCGAAATTGATTGGAAAAATTTCTAAATCTAATTTTCTTACATCTCATTTAGAAGAATGTAAGCAAATCAAAGACAAAAATTTAACTCGGAAAAGTTGCTCCAAATTTTATTAGTTTTCATAAAAGAGGAAAAAAACAAGCATCAAAATCGACTCGAATTTCGAAGCTGTAGCCTTTTTTGAAACATAAAATTTCATTTGACCCCGCTGTGTCACGGTGCTGGAGGGTACACCTTGTATACACAGGGCGAACAAGCGTACACGAGCGCGAAAGTTAAAGCCGGGCTAAAAACGCAGAGTCACACGGTTATGCATTTTTTAAACATCTCCGCATTGCCGGAAAAGGCGCATCGACACGGTTTACAAACGAGACCTGCTCGCGCGCGCGCGTTTATATTCGCTCATACATACAGAAAAATATCATTGTACTGCCGAGGAAAGCGATTATTCACTTTCTTTCTCTCGAGTAACGGTTATCTTCGTTAAAGAATCTTTTCTTCATAATAGTCTTAAAATGCACTCGCCACAAATTTGAGGAAAGCTCATTATCGTGTGCTCAAAGGGAGAATTTACTCTCTTTATGAGAACATCGTAAAACCTTATCGAAGGAAAAACTTATTTTTGACTCTACGTAGTAAGCAGATCGGATTTTTGCCTCAATTTTCATTCTTGATTGAAACGCCAAACTTGCTAGGATTTGGTATGTATTTTAAGTAAATTTTATAGTCATGATGAAAACATTTATTACAAATATATAAGCTTATGTAATACTTAAAACAAGCAACATATATTTTAAAATCACTTCAGCACACGGCACGAATTTTTTTGCGTGTATGCACTCTGGTCTCACACCGCGTTAATTAATCACTTCGCTGCGAATTATCGGCACGTTGAAAAGCCGATGAAACTACAACAGTTTCGACAATTCGGTATGCGTTTCCATTTGCAATTACCCACATCTCCAGCTATATCTAGCTGTGCGTGTCTATTGCTACATGCATGCACTCGCACTCACACACACACACACACACACACTCGCGGTAGGTCGCCGAATCCGTGATTGTAAATAAAGACTCAATTATTGCATCGCACAAATGTTATGCACTTTTTTATTTATTTTTTATCGGGACGAAATATTTTGCGTGTATCATTTGTGCACTGTTAATAATACCACCATGATCGGGGATCAATAACGTGTTTTGTTGTGCAGAGCGGGGAGGGAGGGGGTGATTCGACTCCCTTATAAAATATATGTTGATATTATCGAAATTGGATATGTTTTCAACCACTTTTATCGCCAAAGTGATTGATTTATCGTTACTGTTAACTCTCTCCAGGGTTCCAGTTTCATTTCACAATATAATCTCTTTTTCTCGTTTATTTCAGTTGTACGTATTCAACGACGCGATATGTACGATGCGCGCACGGACTTCCGGCGTTTCTTCCGTGTACATACACACGTACAAGATAATGTATCGATAAGCTTGCATCTCTATATCTAAGTTAGGAGTCAGACGAGAATTCGACAATGTAATGCAATGCAGCAGCACGGAAAATAGTGAGAGAAAAGGCGGGACGAACCCAGCAATTGATTATAATAGATGCATTGTATGAAAAAGAGCAGCTTCGAATTTAGGCGTACGATGACTAGCCGGCTCTGAAGACGCATGTCACATAAATCTTCCTCATGCTAATCATAATTATGACGCAAAATATGATCAATAAAAAATACATATATTTTTTTAAATAAAAAATACATATATTTTTTTAAATAAAAAATACATATATTTTTTTTAATAAAAAATACATATATATATTTTTTTTCAAACAATAATTCCCTGTTGTTCCTAAACAAAAGTGAGAGAAATCGATGTCGGCAGCGGGCCGCCAGTTGGAAAGCAGGCAACGTTACGGCGAGAGGAGAATGCGGCGAGATCTCGAAATGCCATAATCCCGAATTTATAAATTGCTGCGCGCCCGAGGAATATTCATTGTTTCGAACGCGCCGTGGAAAAATACGACCTCCAGCGAGAGTGCATGTTGCGGCTCGCCCAAAAACGCGCAGCGGAAAAAAAGGGAAGAGAGACGAGGGAAGAGTGCATAATCGCGATTCGAGGGAGGGCAGCGTCACGTGCGAAACATACAATGCGCAATATATAATGTGCAGCGTGTGCCCCGGAATACCCGGGCCTTAATCTTCATTAATTTGAGATTGAGGTCGGGGCGGGCGCGCGCAAATTCGCGATAATACATTTTCGAAATAGCGCTTCGTTCCTCCCGCGGCACCCTCTCGCTTCTCCGCCCCCACCCCTCCCCCTCGCCGCGGACGTTTGACGATTCTCCTTGGAAATGTCGTCGTAACAGTCACTATATTCCCCATCCACCTCGCGGACGTTTCCGAATCCCCGGGACAGATGACATTTCGAGGTAACGCGCGCTTGCTCTTTCTCGCGATCTCGCGTTTCATCCATCTCCCCGGCGCGCAACGTGCGCTAACGTAACGCATGCTCGTTAACGGTGGACCGACATCGACGGTGCATTAACGAGCGAGCTAATACGCGCGAATCCGTGGCTGTGATTCGTGACGTTGGTGGACGATGGTGTGGTCATCGTCGCTCGTTCCTCCGTACGACCGAAGCTCCGTCCAAAATTCGCAGCCTCGCACCCGCGTGTGTGTCATACACCGCCGGTAATTTTAGACACGCGGTTTCACAGCACACGCCGCGGTGTTACGACCGCCAACGCTACACACATTCGTCAGCACTCGTCGTCCGTGTCGTGCGCGTTATCTCCCGGCCGTATCGTCGTCGTCGACACGGCGGACAGATCTCACCCCCGGGAGTCAAATTTCGGCCAATTTCGGCGTTGTCGAACGATCGGGAACAGCGCGTCGCGACGCGATCGCGATTACGCTCACAATGCCGCTGCAGACGTGCCGACGAGCTGAGGAGGTAACGTAATGAGCGTATGACGGCGTAACCGCGTAAATCGGAACTGGTTCCCCCACACACACACACACAGGAGTAGGGCGCGAGAAAGAGAGAGAAAAAGAGAAAGAGGGACACCGGCCTCATTCATCGCATAACGCGCGCGGACGCGTGCGCGTATATAAAATAAATACGCGAGCGCGAACACGCGAGAGAGCGTGACGAGTGTGTGCGCCGGACGGCCGGAGAAAGAGAGCAGCAAGCGCGGAGAAGCGGGTTGTAACCGGGAGGGAAAAAGAGAGGCAGAAGAGAAGCGGCACTCCGGAGCAGCACTTAAGGATAATAAACTACCGCGACAGCGAGCGGAGGGGTGGCGCGACATCTTTCGCAGCGTACTACCGGGGCAGATCTTCCGAAATTGATCGTGCTTCGCGCAACGCGCATACTCTCATTACGCGACCAGCGTAGCAGTATATGACAATAAATGGACTTTTCCCGACGACAGGGAGAGTGAGCGAGTGAGAGAGAGATTTATTAAGCCTTGGAATAAAATCCCTTCGCATTAGTAAGGCACGCATTAGTAAGAGTACAACAGTGTGTATATATACATAAAATTATGTTGAGAGAGAGAGAGAGAGAGAGAGAGAGAGAGAGAGAGAGAGAGAGAGAGAGAGAGA